CAAAACGTTTGTTTTATCATTTCATTTCGCTATGGAGATTATTCATCTAATTATTTTATATGTTTTTTGTGTTTGTTTTAAAAATTATTTGTTTGTTCTTATCACAAATACGTTCATTTCAAATATAATTAGTCATTGCAGTTTGGCACATGACAAATGTTTAAGAGCTTATAGTTTATATTTTATGGAACAATTATTTGAAAAGTGCCTTGTTTTGTCATTTTGTTGGTTTTCCTGGGTGTGTCCGATTGAAATCGTAAGTGACATCCATATTCCTAATATGTCAGCGAATAATTGGCTAAGTTTCCAGCGAAAGAAATGCCATGTTTGGCCCCACCTCGTCAATTTCTTCTGTTTATGCTGATTTCCTATTTCAATTTCAAAAATAAATATAGGGTATGTTGGCATTATCATATGCTTATTTGTGTTGAAATTAAGTAATAATATTTTTCATCACAAATATGATTTGCTTTCAGGAAGAAACTTTTCTCCAGTAAATAATCAATCTTAAATTTTGTCAACAACATACAGCTGCATGGGGAAAATGGAGCAATATGAATTCTATCCAACCATAAACACATGTGAAGGAAAACAAAATTCGATCAAGGGGCGACTGGTTGGGTTGGGTATGGATCGTCACTTAAGTCGATGAACGCGATGAACTTCCACATATAGCATACAGCATATAGCATATAGCACATGGCATGTAGTATGCCGCACACTGATGTCTTGGGGGCTTATAAAAGAACGCGTATCGCCAAGTTTCGGTTAGTTGACTCCCAGCTGTGTCGCATCACAGACCAGTGCTTGGATTTTCGTAATTACATCTGCTTTCTTTAAGTTCAGCAAAAACTTCTTATCGTCATGGTAAGAATAATAACCACTCCCAAGGATTTAACTGAATTTTTGGAGCTTCGAGGACTGCGATGGACTATGGATCCTTAAAGTCTTCCAAATATAAGATTAATGCCATATGGTGTACAAGACATGAGTCACATTAGTAGAAACTTTCTTCCAGAGGGAATGCATTTCGGTTCACATTGGCCAAGCTGGCGTCCAGATCGGCAATGCCTGCTGGGAACTCTACTGCTTGGAGCACGGCATCCAGCCCGATGGTCACATGCCCTCCGATAAGACCGTGGGCGGTGGCGATGACTCCTTCAGCACCTTCTTCAGCGAGACTGGCGCTGGCAAGCATGTGCCCCGTGCCGTGTTCGTGGATCTGGAGCCCACTGTGGTGGATGAGGTGCGGACAGGCACCTATCGCCAGCTGTTCCATCCGGAGCAACTGATCACCGGCAAGGAGGATGCGGCCAACAACTATGCCCGTGGCCACTACACCATCGGCAAGGAGATCGTCGACGTGGTTCTGGACAGGATTCGCAAGTTGGCGGATCAGTGCACGGGTCTGCAGGGATTCCTGGTCTTCCACTCCTTCGGCGGCGGCACTGGCTCTGGATTTACCTCGCTGCTGATGGAGCGCCTATCCGTCGACTATGGAAAGAAGTCAAAGCTGGAGTTCTCCATCTACCCAGCCCCACAAGTAAGTTCACTTAAGATTTAAATAATATATGTCATTTCCCTTTAAAGATATAGAATTGATAATGCCCTATTAAGCCAATTAACTTTATTAATTATGGACATGGGAAATTAGTCTTCGAAAGAAAATTTAATAATGGATTTGAAACTTCCTGCCAGGTGTCCACAGCTGTGGTCGAGCCGTACAACTCGATCTTGACCACCCACACAACGCTGGAGCACTCGGATTGTGCGTTTATGGTTGACAACGAGGCAATCTACGACATCTGCCGCCGCAACTTGGATATCGAGCGACCCACCTACATGAACCTCAATCGCCTAATTGGCCAGATCGTTTCCTCCATTACGGCCTCGTTGCGCTTCGATGGCGCCCTGAATGTGGATCTGACCGAGTTTCAGACCAATTTGGTGCCCTACCCACGCATCCATTTCCCGCTGGCGACATACGCACCCGTCATTTCCGTGGAGAAGGCCTACCACGAGCAGCTGACCGTGGCCGAGATCACTAATGCCTGCTTCGAGCCCGCCAACCAGATGGTCAAGTGTGATCCGCGTCGTGGCAAGTACATGGCCTGCTGCATGCTCTACCGTGGCGATGTGGTGCCCAAGGATGTGAACGCAGCCATTGCCACCATTAAGACCAAGCGCTCCATTCAGTTCGTGGACTGGTGTCCCACGGGCTTCAAGGTGGGCATTAACTATCAGCCACCCACCGTTGTTCCTGGCGGGGATCTGGCCAAGGTGCAGCGCGCCGTCTGCATGCTGTCCAATACCACAGCCATTGCCGAGGCCTGGGCCCGTCTGGATCACAAGTTCGATCTGATGTACGCCAAGAGGGCCTTTGTCCACTGGTACGTGGGTGAGGGCATGGAGGAGGGCGAGTTCGCCGAGGCTCGCGAGGATCTCGCTGCCCTCGAGAAGGACTACGAGGAGGTGGGCATCGACTCCACCACCGAGCTGGGCGAGGATGAGGAATACTAAGCTTTTCGATAACTTTATCAACAATGATCCTACAAGCTCTATAAACATCACTTTGTTTCTACCAAATACCAATGCATAAACTTTCGCAATTAAACAGTTTAACACAAGTGTTGAAAATTGTTTATTTAATTGGAAGATATATTTTTGAATGGGATTTTATATATTTTTATTAAATGTTTAAGACATTGTTATATACAACAATTGGTGAACAGTCGTTTACCTGAAGAAAATGATGTATACATTTATGTTATGTTATGATGTTAGAAATATATTTTTTTTTTAATTTTTTTTGCGTTTTTCTGATGTATAATGTTGTAGAAATTCAAAAAAAATTAAAAAATGTCCCAAGGCTGAAGTTCTAAGCTCCATAACTCAACTTAACTTAATCGGATTTTGAAGTGGCATACCTGTAAATGTTTCTGTCGCAATTCTCTAAAAATCTGCATTTAAATTTAGAAATTCATTTACTTTTAATTTTTTCTTCATTTTTTTTTTATTGTAGAAATTAAAAAAAAATAAGAAATGTCCCAAGGCCAAAGTTCTAAACTCCATAACTCAACGTAACTTAATCGGGTTTTGAAGTAGCATACCTCTAAATGTTTCTAGCGCAATTATCTGCAAAAATCTGCATTCCAATTTAGAAATCTATTTTTTTTTTAATTTTGTTGTGATTTTTTTGTTCTAATGCTGAAGTTCTTAACTCCATAACTTAACTTATCTTAATCTGATTTTGAAGCGGCATACCCCTTCAAATTTGCATTCAAATTCTGCATTCATTCTATTTTTTTTTAATTTTGTTGTGTTTTTTCTGATGTATGATGTAGTAGAAATTCAAAAAAATTTCCCAAGGCTGAAGTTATGTTGTCTCGCCCACAAGCCGCACAAAACTCTCATACCCACACTTTTAACAAATTTTTAAGTTTTTTTTGTATTACTTTTTCTCCAATTTCTACCAATATTCCAGAATATGTTGAAATTTCTCGTTTGGGTAACGGGTATCTGATAGTCGAGGAACTCGACTATAGCATTCTATCTTGTTTTTAAAATCGTTATGTGTAATGGGGCCTTAAAATGCATTTCTAAACGCATGCGCAAGAATGTGTACACATATTTTTCGCAAATTCAGTAGTCGAAGACGTACCTTTTCAGGAGTAGCAGCGAAAACTATTCTTAAGATAGTTTTTAAGTTTAAATTCATATAAGATAAATGTGAAAATTTGTATTAATTATTTCGCCCGTTATTAAATATAATATTGTTGTTTGGAAACCTCAGTGAATGTTATTTAATTGTAAATGCACATGCAAAATTTCATTCTCCTTTGTCTGCAAAGTTGTATGTGCATGTATGTATGCACTCCAAAAACTGAAGTCTAGTCTGATAAATTAATTAAGATATTGTTAAGTAAGATACGGAGAAAAACTTTATTCCTGTTTAGACGGTACTTACACACAAATTTTATTATACGTATACAGATGAAATATGTTAGAGATTTATTATCTACCCCTTTTGAATAATCAATGCCCTCAACGAATACAGACAATGCAAACCTCTGACCATATACATTATAATATATATTAATATTTATTTGCCTTTACACAAACCCTTTATGTATAACAAATGTGATACCAATTTTTCAGGATCAACGAATGTGATGCAGAAATTATATATCTTTTATATTTTTCGTCCTTTCATATAAAAACATTTAATACTTAATATGTATTTTACAATTTATATTTATTCTTATTTCAGCTCCTTACAATGACATGACCATATAATGTTTCATTACAGGAAATTTCGTTAACAGATCGGGAGATGGTCTCATCTGCAAAATTCCTATACTCCTCCATCCAAGTTCATCCTTAATCTTATACGCCTGTTTATTTGTCCGTCCGTTTGTCCGCCTATTTGTCCGTCTGTTTGTCCGTTCGTTTGTCCGTCCGTTTGTCTGTCCGATTGGCTATCCCTGTTCGTCTGTATGCTTGTATAGCTCCCTAGCAATCAAATTGATGTCTGGTTTCCACCTCCTCCTGAAATAATAATCTTTTAACATAAATAAATATTGTAAATGCTTTCCACTACAAGTTTAATCTTTATATTTACAGATTACCTACGCAGTATCTGATGACGTTCCATCTATTTCTTACATATTTAAAATTAAATCAAACATTTAAAGAATGTTTAATTTAATTTACACTCAATTAATTTGGTACGGGGCCAAGATTTTAGTTGGGTTGAAAAAAATTCATCCAATTTAGGGAAAGTAGAATCTCAACAGACAAATTGTGCGGCAGGGGAGTTAGGTTATAAGTGACTCGGATCCGGAATTTGACAGGAATTCGGGCAGTGAAATTGTAAGACAAATTAAATTACATGTTAAAAAAGATGATTATTTTAGAAATGACACCTAATGACCAAACTTTTGAAGAACTTCAGACCTAAAAGAGATTATTTCTGTGTAATTGCATATACATATATTCGATTTTTTTTTTTTTAAATACAATGCCTATCTTTAGGATGATTATAAATTTCAGTCTCGAAAACATGCATCGGATACACGACGACGAGTATTCTGAGGATGCCAAGGAATCTGACTTCAAGGGCTCAATTCAGAAGGAGATATCAGTCAAGTCGCGACACCAAATTTCCATTCCAGATATATGCTCAGATGCTGTTAAGAACAACTGTTTTCCGCCGACGGGCTTTCTGAATAACTCGATCGCCTTTGCCTCACACGTGGTTAAGTGCAGTTCTCCGGCCTCGAGCATCGATGAATCCTCATCAACGGCCCAGCACGAGCCCAGTCCCCACATGCACATACAGGGTCAGCATATGATGGCACCCGTTCCCGATCTGGGCTTCTACAATGTTCCCGAGTTCATTTCCGAGCAGGAGAAACTCATGTTCTCCGACGCGGAAAGGTTCTTGAGGTCGAAAGATAATGAGGTGTGCAACAATGATTTCAGCTATATGCACGATGAGTTCGCCATGCGAAAGTACTATCATCCTCTATTTGCTCATGGCATATGCCGCTGGCCCGGTTGCGAAATGGATTTGGAGGATATCACATCGTTTGTCAAGTAGGTGGCATACAATTAGAGGTATGAAATGATTATATCGGTTTTGGTAACCAATACTAGGCATCTGAATACTGAACATGGATTGGACGATCGATCAACAGCCCAGGCACGGGTTCAAATGCAAGTTGTCTCCCAGCTGGAATCCCACCTGCAAAAGGAAAGAGATCGCTTGCAGGCTATGATGCATCACTTGTATTTGTCCAAGCAGCTTTTATCACCCACTAAAATCGATAGGAAGGTAAGTCCCTTTAATGTAAAACATAGTAAGTAATAATATAATGAAAATCTATGAAAACAAGGACGTGCCCGGTAGAGAAGGAAAGTTTTGCCGGAGTCCGCTTACAGTGAATAGCATAGGTCGACCCATCCGCCAAACAAATTCACCCAGTCCTCTAAATCTTCCAATGGTTAATTCCACTAACTTATGCTCGATCAAAAAGAGAAACCACGACAAAAATACATTTTCAATAAATGGCGGTAAGTGTAGGATATTCTTGCATTCACTATCACTATAAATAATAATTTTTTTGCCTTTAGGTTTACCCTATATGCTGGAAAGAGCCGGGCTTGATGTGCAACAGGGTAAGTAAACTATGTAGACTGATTATTTTTATGGCTTCTTGTCTTGTGCTTCTGGAAGACATATAATAAGAATTTAAATTTTCAGAGATCCACCGAAACAGAGAGTTTTATAAGAATGCTGATGTACGACCGCCTTTTACTTATGCTTCGCTCATACGACAGGTAATTTTAAAAACCTATATATGTACATATATGGCTCTCTTGTCTTATATTACTTTCTTTTATATGTTTAAAGGCTATAATTGACTCCCCTGACAAGCAGCTAACCCTTAACGAAATCTACAACTGGTTCCAAAACACATTTTGCTACTTCCGTCGCAACGCAGCTACGTGGAAGGTAAAACGACCTATTCAAAACTTCTTTTTTTCTATATTACCTATATATTTATGCAACACAATTTGTATTTAAATATTTATATTTATTTATATATGATATGATATCTATGATATGATATTACCATACTATTTGTCCGTCCGTTTAATGTTCGTGTGTCCGATTGGCGTTGATAACTTGTCTGCTGTATTAGTATAAATACATCCTTTTTTCCACATTTCCCAACATTTTGCCAATACTTTAGGGTATGTAAATATAAGTTTAGGTACTTGAATGATATCTGACAAGGTAAGCTATACAGATTCCCTTGTTTTATTCCATTTCCTATCTATATGTCTTAAGATAATCAAATATATTAAGTGTGGCCCTTGCTAACTGATAATGTATACCATTAGAACGCAGTTCGGCACAATCTGTCCCTTCATAAATGCTTTATGCGGGTTGAGAATGTGAAAGGAGCAGTTTGGACTGTCGATGAGATTGAGTTTTACAAAAGACGACCGCAGCGCACTGCTGGCATTGGTAACAACCTGACTGGTGCTACCAATTCGCCGGACACTAACTATTTTGTAGCCATGAACATTGGGTATGTGGGTCTCAAATAGTTTACTACTCACTTTGCTCCAAACTCCTTCCATTTTGCTCTGTTCGTAAATATATGTATGCCATTGAATGCATGCTCTTATATCGAAATGATATAATATGACATTATACGATCTTTTTACAGCACATATTGTAAACAGTGATTCCAATCTCTTAGTGGTAAATCCCAAAATGATGTCCGTCTGCTTATCGGTCTGTATGTCCGTGCGGGAATTTAGCTTGTGAAGATGATCCAGGTTTTCGTTTATAAAGGATAAAGGAACAAAATGCTGCAATGAAAATAAGACGACCGAAGACAAATGAACTAACCATAATATCTCAATGAACTCTTTCTTCCTTTCCCGATAATGCATATTCCTGTTTCCGACTCTTGATGGGGCTCTTATTTTGTCCAACAAACCATAAAGAATGCGATTCGTACGAACCTTTCCTTGCACAAGTGCTTTGTACGTTATGAAGATGACTTTGGCTCGTTTTGGATGGTCGACGATAATGAGTTTGTCAAAAGGCGGCACTTGTCGAGAGGGAGACCCCGGAAATATGAACCGTCCTCCTCCCCAAATTCATGCCAATCCGGCAATGGTGTGCCCACTGATAAGAATCCTTGCGACAATTGTACGCAACATTGCACTGGCTTGCCCCCGGGGGCTGATAATCCTCTAGATTCCAATAATCCAAATGATTTAGGCAGAATCGGTTGTCTTCCTTTTTGCGGTAGTGATGGTTTAAGTAAGACGTCTAAGGACTATAGTAATATGGATTCGGGTATGGTCGAAAGTAACAGCCATTTGGCAATGGATGAATACTCTACTAATATGTACGAAAGTAGTGCCAATGAGCATAATCGATAAATATATCATTAACTATACATATTTAGATGCATTGTCGAGTAATCTACGTTTGGTAAGAAGGTTCGGATTCGGAAATTATATCTGTACATACACATGGTTCTGTATAATTTCCGTAATAGAAATAATTTTAAAATAAATTACACTAATGCTATAAAATAAATGAGAAAAACTGCGTTAAATTATTAAAGCAAAATTAATCTGTTTAAATTTGCTTTAATAACTCCACATAAAACCTGACTTTATGTTACATATTACATATGTGTATGTAATATTTTCCATTTTCAGCGAGAAAGCCTTTTAATTACACCGAAACTGTTTTAAAAAGCTACCTTTTAATAGACATTTTTTTCAGATATACCTTCCAATAAAAAACTAAAGCTTGGTCGCTTCAGATCTGAAAACTCCTTAATATATTTATATGCTTTTCTGCTGCCATATCTAAACACTTCCATTTAATTTTAGATCATTAACAAAACAAAGTGACCAGAATAAATTTCACATAAGAACAAAATGAAATAACTCTCTTTTATTTCGAGTTCTTAAGCAAACGGTTTATAGGGTTTTGACTGTATGCGATAAAAAGTGATAAATCAACTTTTAAAAATTTTTGACAATTTGTATCCAAGTTATCTACCATCTTATCATTTAGAAACCATATTTAGTATATTTCAGTATATTTTATTGGAGAACTTTTTGATTGCGATTGCTTAAATTTGTTAAATTGCGATTGTTAAAACTACCATTTTCATTCAATTCAGTTTGGCAATGGATTAGCTTAATAAATATATAAATATATTGTAGTCACTGCCAATAAAATAAATTTTTTGTTTTCTTATCAATATGTTTCAAATCGTTATCGATTAGTTCTGAGAATGTATCGATACCGTCACATTTTCCGGCAGCCATCGATACTATCGGGCAGGCATCGCTTTTCCTCCCAGCTCTATCCACTACGGTCACTCTGAAAGTCTATCAACGTTTTGTGACATGAAAATTCAACGAGGACACTGTGTACATGAGTAGTTGAAAAATTAAAATGGTTTCCATGCAATTTGTTTTGCAACCGCTTCCGGGCTCGGACGATCAGTTTATTGAAAGGTAAATATAATCCTCGCGCTTCGCAATTTCGCACATGTGAACGCGGAATTTCGTGTGATTGTGTACGTACGGCTGCATGTATTTGTTATGTGAAAATATGTAGGTACGCAGGTATATGTATACGCAGGAAGATATGTACATGATCATTAACGCAAAATGCGAGCACAGACACTGGCGGATTTACCTCATCTAGTGCCATCCGCGCGGTTCTGTAAACGTTAGCCAGAGAACTTGCGAAATGCACTTGCGATTCCCACTTTTCGTCGACAATTAATTTTCTTACCATTCGCATATATGTGTGTGTGCGAATGTGTGGGACATGTGAACGTTAGCGTGTGTGCGTGCATGTGCATACATGCTGATTAATTTGTTCATATTTAACTATTTGTTCTGAGCAAACTATAGAAATGTTTATATTATAAGCTTCTCGAAAGAAGTTTGCCGAAGTCCATGCTTCCGGCTTAAATACATTGCAACCAAAATGCTTTTACAAACACAATTTGAACATTATGTTTCGCTGGAAGCCAGTCTTCCAGCACATGGCATCAAAACGTTGAGTGTTTTCCATAACCCATAAACCTTAATTGCCAAAAAATCGAAACACCGGCTCTTTTTTTTCTTCCTTGGTGATGTACACTTTTCATAGAAGCTGCAAATTTTCCAGCTGTTAATCATAAATAGTCTGGCAAGGCCAAAAATCATCCAACAAATGCACCCTACAATTAGGAGATTCAGAACATGCATCGACTTGGTTGGCAGTCATATACAAGTTTTATTCTAAATGCATTTTATCCCATTCTAGGATTCGTGAAGTGTCGGAAAAGGTGAACCGATTTGGTTATGGCAGCCATCGCATATTCGAGCAGTTGAAAATTCCAGTGAGAGAAGTGGTCATCGGTCCAGCGCACATTGGAGTTTTGCTCGAGGATGGCAAGGCGTTCCGCGTGTCCTTTTCTATAAACTCGGAAAAGCTTGACTTGACCAAATCAGACGCAAAATGGTAAGCTAAAATGCAAATCTTTAGCAGTTACATAGATTCTCATGTTTATTTAAAGTTCAACAAGTGGTGGCGGCGGAACGGCCAGTGCTTCGAAAGCCCCATCCTCATCCCGACCGATGGCCCGGTCCAGAGCACGCCTGCTGCGCGCAACAGGTCGCTCAAGTTCCACCGGACAGGGCTCCGGATCACGCAGCACAGGGGTTATAATTGGAGGCAGTACATCGAGCCGACCCTTAGTCACAGTTCCGGCCACATACGTGCCGGAGGAGCTCATATCGCAAGCGGAGGTGGTTTTACAGGGCAAGAGCAGAAATCTCATAATTAGAGAATTGCAGGTAAGTTCATCGATACAAAAACATCTTATTCGTCCAATAACGTACTCTTCCCTTGATAGCGCACCAACCTAGATGTTAACTTAGCTGTGAACAACTTGCTTTCTCGCGATGATGAAGAAGCGGAAGATACCGAAGAAGGTGCTGATAATTACGTGCCCGAAGACCTTATCTCTCTGCTGGATAATGGCTTTAGTGGAGATAACAACAGTGTCATCATAGATCCCTCAGATGGGCTTTTTTCGGAGGAGATATTTAGCAATTACTCCAGCATTCGGAAGTAAGTAACATGAAACAAAACAAAAACAGCAACTTATTGTTTTACATTTTTACAGCTTGCTGTTTGATCGCATTCGTAGTGAACGCAGTAATGCCAACGCAAATGCCGCAGACAGTAACCAATCGACCCGCTCAACAACTTCAGGCGCACCTTTAACTGGTAGCAGCGGACTTCCAACTCAAATATCAGTTAATGCTGACCGCGAAGCTTTTAGTCGTTGGCGGGATCGTCAGTACTACGGACCACGTCGCTGGATAAGCAAAGACGACTACACCTGGGAGAAGGATGCTGGTAAGTTGATACAAAAAATGATGATTCTCTTGCTGCACTGACACCTACTTCAACATAGATTCCAAGAAAAAGGAGCCATCCCCCATGTTGTCTCCCATTTGGATATCTGAAGAATTGCAGCCATGGCCAGAGAAAAGTTCTGTAAGGTTCAAGACCATAGGCGCTCTGTACTCGGAGTTTATTGCTTTGTCAGAGAGCGGAGATTTATACCAGTGGCGCTGGTCAGATGCAGAGCCTTATAAGTCTGAGGTAAGGAATTATTCCTGTTTTTTTAAATAAGCTTTAATTTAAATCTGTACTTGAATGTATCTTATTTTGCAGACTGACAATGTTTATCATCCCAAATCTGTTTCCCTCAACATAATTGAAAGAGTGGAGCTTATTTCGGCCAACTTTATCCGATGTTCCGTTGTTACAGAAACCAATCGAGTGGCCACTTGGATGGACGAGCAACTAGGTTACCTCGGCGCCAAGCTGGAGCACAATTGCTGCGCGTTTAACGAGTTTATATCGGACCCCATAACAAAGATCTACGTCTGCTCACTATACACGGTTGTTAAGACCGATAGCAATAACATATATTGGTGGGGAGTCCTGCCATTTGACCAACGACGCTACTTGTGGGACAAATTCCGGACAAAGACCAAGAAGCCTTTTAAGGTCGTTGCCACCGATATTAATGTGGGTGCTCAAGTGATAATGAAAAAGTGCCCAATCTATCAATCTGGATCGATCGGCTTCACATGCTCCAATGGCGTCCCAAAGGTTGGACAGCTTTTGAATTCAGTCTGGAACTTCACTGATGTGTGTCGCATGAAAATCATAAATATTATTACAAACTCCGGCGTGGACAAATCCCAAGCAGCTGGCATTAATCTCAATGCCCATGGAATTACCCCGGATAAGGACCTGCCAAAGTCCACGGCAATGCCCAGCACTGGAAGCAGTAAGAATGGACAATCCTTTTCAAACAGCAAAGAGTCGACTGATCGCATCGACATGCCACCGCCGCCGTCACCGGCATCCAGTACATGCAGCGATACCGGCAGCGTCACATCCCACAAGCGCACCAAACGAGCTACTACGAAAGAGGACTCCAATGCCCCCCAAGAGGGAAGAAAGGATGAGGAGCTGTGGGAATTAAAGGACGTTGTGTTTGTCGAGGACAAGGTGGGTCCAGTGGGAAAGGTGCTTAAGGTCGACGGCGACTTTGTTGCCGTTCGTTTTCCGGCAATGAATGCAGCAGCAGTTGCTGCTGCTGCTGCCGCCGCAACAAGTTCCTCATCCAACGCAGCCTCCACATCCAAGGAAGAGGGGAAGGAGGACGATTGGCAGCAGTGTCGGTTGTTGCGACGCGAAGATGTCCAGATATTCCGCACTGCTATGTCTACCCGTGGCCCAGACTGGCTGCAAAAACAGCCGAAGAAGATTAACGTTGGTGCTGATGCAGCTGGCGCACAGCTACTCACCTTGGCCGTGGACTCGCGCGGCATTCATGTGATCAAGAAGGTGCTCGGCAAAATTCACTACAGCCTTTACAACCTGTATAACAGCAAGCAGGAGCAAAATTGCCTATTCCCCACAGACTGCGCCTCTTTTATTGGCTCTTCGCCCGGCAACATATTAATGACTTGCAACAACGACTGCAGCGGAAACAGCAGTACCATTGTGCTTCGCGATGGCAATGGCGCCCTTTATCCCTTGGCCAAGGATTGCCTTGGCTCGATCAAGGATCCGCAATGGTTCGACCTTCCTCCGGTGAAGTCCATCACTATGTCCACCATCTCCCTGCCGGCAATGCTTTCGGGCGTGAATTTGAAGTCAAAGGTGTGCATGACTGCTCTGCTCTTTGATACCCAAAAGCTTATGCCGCACATCTTGAGGTGCGATGTCAAGAATAGCTTTGCTGCACTTAGCCGCTTGGAGAGGGAGGATCAAGCGGATACCGCCCTTGTCGTAGAAGAACGTTGCGATGGAGCACGAAACATATTCCATGCTTGCGTAATTATGTGCGCCCCATCCTCAAACAAGGATTCGCCACCAGACTCTCCCAGCGGTGGAGTCGAGAAGAAGTCCCTAGCAGTGGGACTTTCCGTGGCGCGCTCCATCCCAACTGTGTCGACAAGCGCTTACGTTAGCAGCAACGCATTTGGAGCAAATGCGTCTTCAAACAATGAAAACTCCAGCTTTGCAACTATGAGTTCATCCGCTGCCGGCTCCGCCTCGTCAACGAGCAGGGATATGCGTACCAAACTGCGCGACATGATGATTCGTCTAACAAATAGCGATCTGGCTGAACAGTCTGGCAGCCAGCCAATAGCTACAAACAATGAGGACCATGCCTACATCCCCTGGCCAGGCGAGGCACCGGCAGCCAGCAATCTGAGCGCAAGCTCTTCGCAGAATGTCGCAGACAGCATTGAAGATTACATCTCGAAGAGCTCCTCCCAGAGTTCCATGCTCTCCAACATCAAGTTGGGGTCCCCCAACTACACCTTCGACCTGGCTCAGCGGCGGGAGCATGCTTTGACAATCCTTCAGCAGATGTGCGTAAGTCCGGCCCTTCGTCCGTACCTGTGCCATATGCTGAGCACTAAGGATGCACAAGGCCAGACGCCGTTTATGCTCTCCGTTTCGTGTCGCGCCTACGAGGCAGGAATCATACTATTGAACACAATTCTAATGCTATCCGAGCAGGATTCACAGCTAAAGGAGGCCATGATTTTCCCCACTGGTTCACCTGCGGATCAGTCGCCTCTGCATGTCATCTGCTACAATGACACCTGCTCCTTCACATGGACGGGAGCCGATCACATCAACCAGAACATTTTCGAGTGTAAGACATGCGGGCTTACTGGCTCCTTGTGCTGCTGCACGGAGTGCGCGAGAGTCTGCCACAAAGGACACGACTGCAAGTTGAAGCGTACGGCCCCGACTGCATACTGTGATTGTTGGGAGAAATGCAAGTGTAAGGCTCTGATTGCTGGAAATCTCACGAAACGCTTCGCTTTGCTTTGCAAGCTAGTCTCCTGCACAGACTTGGTTACCAAGTTTAACTCCAAGGGTGAATCGATTCTTCTTTTCCTTATTCAAACGGTTGGACGTCAAATTGTAGAGCAACGACAGTATCGCTTCAATGTAAGGGTTCGCAATGTTGGCACTGCTGCCACCGGAGCAACCGGAAACAATACAGTGATATCAAATCGCAAGACATCCGCGGCGGAAATAGATAGTGATATGCCGGACCATGATCTGGAGCCACCAAAGTTCGCTAGAAAAGCTTTGGAGAGACTGCTGATCGACTGGAACGCTGTGCGCTCCATGATCATGAGTGGTGCGGAGAGAAGCGATGTCCCAAATCCAGCAGGAAGTGCATCAGAGAATTCAAATTCGGAAGGCTTCAATATGTTTATTCAGACGCAGCATGGATCCACGCTTCTCGACAAATTTACCCACAGTCTGATCGTGAAGTGCACCGGCGACCATTTGGACACCTTGCTCCTCACCCTGGTGCGCGAGTTGCAGAACGCAGTCGTTGCCAATCGTTGCAAGGAGGCTGAAGAAGTAGCGCGTCGCTTCGTACGTTCCGTGGCACGCGTTTTCGTCATTTTCAACCTGGAAAAGCAGCCGAACCCGGAAAAACGGAAGACGCACACATCGTGCAACAAATACGTTCAGAGCTGTGTTAAAGTGTTCCAAACGCTCCACAAGATATCCATCGAGGAGTTATGTGAGGTATCCGAAGCTCTGATTGCTCCAGTCCGACTGGGCGTTGTGCGGCCCACAGCTCCGTTTACGATGTCGTCGTCGAATCTGGATGTAAGTGTAAATATGACCACCCTTTTTATTAATTAGTTGAGAAATACGAAATCAAGATTTATGACTGCGACCAAGCAACACCTAGTTTAATGATAATTTTCAAATACTTTTAGAACTCTGACGATTTGTTCAGCGTTGATCCTTTGGCACCCTCTAACGTGGAGTCTCCTTCCGAGCAAATACTTGGACACGATGCTGGAAACGATCAGAGCGCCAGTTTTAATATTCAACAAAACTACGATGTAGTTGCTATGGAAAGTAAGTATATTTCATAGATAGCTGTCAGAAATTGTGCAAAACCTAATGAAATATATTTTAAAATCAGCTATACGCGACGCCTCCGAATCGGAAGAAGTTATAAATCGGGAAGCCAATTCCCACAATCAAGACGATGAGTTAATTGAAAATCAACGAAATGAGGACGGCATGCAAGATGACGAGAGCGATAATGACTTTACTTTCAATGACGCTGAGACTGAGTCCGACTCCGATGACAACCAAAGCAATCAAGAGGTGCAGAGGAGCGTGCAAACAGGGGCAACAGTTGGATCAGAAAATGGTTAGTTACTTGAATTCTACTTGGTTTTGTATTTACTTCAGTCAATATTTTTTCTTTCAGACATTGGTGTGCTCTTCCTAGAGGATGAATCGGGAGACTCTTCTGCCCAAGAAGAAGATGGCTCGGAGGATGGCGAGTCCGACGATCACTCCGATGAGTTCAATTTCAATGACCAGCAACTGGAGCGCCGCACTACCAACTCGAACGCTCGCAGCGATCTGGCTCCTCAAACGATGCAATGGGCCATACGAAGTCGTGACACCGCCCGCTCATCAGTGAGGGTGCCCACCGGGGGTAATATGGTTTTTATTGACCCCATGGCTCTGCGTCGCTCCACTGTACCGGCCAGCACTACAGTCACTACTCCATCGATTGAGCCACACACCATGGCGACAACGGCCAGCAATTTGGCACGGGCTTTCGGAATCACAATAAGACAGATATCCGAGCTTATAAGCATTCTATCCTATAACATAATAAATGACATCGAAACATCATTAAAAATTCAAAGTGATGAAGCAATTGCAGTCCAAGTAAGTACCGAAAAAATAGTTACGATATTTGCACGACATCATTGCAATTTGAATTTCAATTTTGCAGGCGTTTGTGGAAAAGCGCTTGAAGGCTACGTGGGATTGGATGTTCACGGTAATGGACGGTACCGAAGCACAGCTAAAGTTCGGAGCTTACTTGACCAACTACACGGATCCCAACCATCCGCTGCATCCGCTCAACCTAAGTGCCCAGGCTTCGAGTAGCCAGACTCCGGCTCCCGCCACATCCTCAACCGTTAGTGGTGTAAATATAATGGGTAAGTAAGACATTGTACTTGTTTTACAATTTGTATTAAGCTTCATTTTTAAAGGATCCAATTCACGCCGAGACTTCTTCACCTACTGTTTATCTCTGATGCGGTCCCACACTTCCGAGCACAGAGACGCCTTACCAGTGTTGGATATAACAGCCTTGCGCCATATTGCCTATGTGCTCGATGCCTTTGTTTACTATATGCGCAATGATTCAGGCTTCTATGATAAGCAAGATACCATTTCTGGCCGTATAAACAATTTGTCACCCATGGCTGAGAGCTATGATACGGACGACGAGCTAACTAATCTGGAAGAGTTTAACGCCGATGTTCAGGCGTCTACCAGCAGCATGCCTTCAGGAAGCCAGGGCACACGTCGACATGCATTCTTTGCGCGGTCTGAGTCGACTTTAAGCTTGGGCTGCTCAGCGCCAGAAGGCTTTGATTTACCACTGGATATGGCTATGCCTCTCGCCGATAAGCCGCACTTGCTGCAACCAAATTCTAAGCGTCAAGAACTCTTCGCAAACCTACCGCTTCTCGTGACCACGAATGCCAACAACAGCGCTCCCAATTATGGTGGCAGCATTTTTGATTATACTCCGACAAGACTGGGATTCTCGAATTCCTTAAAAAGGAACGAACATGTTTATGAAACAGTCCAGGCCAAGCAGTCTATGGAGGTAATAATCAATATGGATACCAGTAAGACGGCTGATGGAAATGTAACTAATAAGGCTGAGGGCTCAACAGACTCGAATATATACGTACAATTAAAGAAGAAGCAGGGCTCGGATGACTTCAAATCCCACAAAGAAGCTGACGGTGAGTAGAGTATATGCGGTGAAGAATTTACAAACATTAAATTTTCGGTCCACAGGCAATAATAGCAAGTACGAAAAAGTCGTATTAATGGAAACTGATGACAGTCTTCCAAGTACAAGTAAATCGACTGAAGCGCTAATGGCCACACGGCCAGAAGTTATCATTGCGCCAAATAAAGCCTCAGTGTCACCAGCGACTGCCGCCCGCAGCGTGATAGTTCTCGCAGGTGGTTCCTGTTTAAAGACTATTGATTCCGACACAAACAATTTCTCGGCCTCAAATTTATCGACCGCAGAACAAGCCAAATGTGATACACATCATCAAAAGTCAGCAACACACCACCCGTTAAGTTTTCCTGTTCGTGGTTCTCTGTTTTACCAAGGTAATTTTTCGGAATTGCCGTCGTGGAACTTTTTACTTAGCCGGTGGAAGCTAACTCTGGATTTATTCGGTCGCGTGTTTATGGACGACGTCGGAATGGAGCATGGATCTGTGCTGCCGGAATTGCGCGGCTTCCCTGTGAAGGAGATGCGCTTCCGTCGTCACATGGAAAAATTGCGCAACGGACAACAACGGGATTTGGTGCTTTGCAAGTTGGAGCGCAATCGTGAGAGCTTAATTGTTCAAACGTTCAAGGAACTGAATACCCAGTTTGGCAACCAAAATCGGCGCACCCAGCCGCCCATCACATTCAACAGAGTAAAGGTGACATTCAAAGACGAGCCGGGCGAGGGATCGGGTGTAGCCCGCAGTTTTTACACATCGATTGCAGAAGCATTGCTGGCCAGTGCTAAGATCCCTAACTTGGAGTCGGTTCAGGTGGGCACCAGTCACAGCAAGTACGGAGTGCCGTTCTCGAGCATCTTGCGCAGCAGAACCGTATCGGGATCTAGTCGTGATCAGTCCACTCTGCAGCGGCGTGGTACCAGCAGCAAAATATTGTGGCGTTCGGCCCGTGAAAGGAAGGCACTGAATTTGGATGCCAGACCGTATACTCCAGTAAATAGCTCAGGTAATCTAAATAATCTAACTTACTTTTACTGCGTATTATACTGACCTAGTTCTCAAAATCGCAAACACAGATAATGCAATGCCGGAAAGCCTGAATGATCACCTTTCCGTTCACTTACAACAAATTGGAGAACGTCTTTACCCTAAGGTAAGGGAAGTAATTCGATTGAAGCTTTAAAGTATTAACAGCTCTACTTGGTCAACAGATTCATTCGATAAACCAAACGCATGCACCGAAGATAACAGGAATGCTGCTGGAAATACCCACCCCTCAGCTCCTGTCCGTAATTTCCTCAGATGAGACACTCCGCCAAAAAGTGAATGAAGCGATAGAAATTATTACATTCAAATTGAAATCTGAGACCAGTGCACAAAGTAGTCAACCAAAAAAATCACCATCTGTCGTGCTGGTGGAACCCGTCGACGATGATAATGAGCCATTGTTTTACTCTCCGGGAAAGCGGGGCTTTTACACACCACGCCAAGGTTTTGCATCATTCGAGCGCATTAATGCATTTAGAAATATTGGAAGGTAAACTAAGTGTTTCATTATTAGATTCACTGCTCTAACGCTTCTTTCTTTTTATTTCAGACTCATTGGACTTTGTCTACTGCAAAACGAATTGCTTCCATTGTTCCTTCAAAGACATGTATTAAAATACATTCTTGGGCGTAAAATTAAGTTCCACGACTTGGCATTTTTCGATCCAGCATTGTACGAATCTTTTAGACAAATTATTCAAAATGCCCAAACAAAGGAAGGCGAAGAAACTATTAATCGTATGGAGCTATGCTTTGTGTAAGTATCCCCCATCTTACTTGATTATTGATAACCGTTAGATAACCTAACCTGTCCTTTCAGTATTGATTTGATGAAGGAGGAGGGCTGCGGGAACAGAGAGCTTATCCCAGGAGGGCGCGAAGTTGCAGTCACATCGAGTAATATATTCGAGTACGTCAGACGCTATACAGAATATAGATTAATCAAATCCCAAGAAAAGGCACTGGAGGTATATACAAATATTGCGTAAAAATGTATCGCTCTATTACAATAAATCTTCTACTATTCACAGGCACTAAAAGACGGAGTTTTCGACGTTTTGCCCGATAACAGCATGAATAGCTTAACCGCCGAGGACTTGCGTCTGCTGCTGAACGGTGTTGGTGATATAAATGTTTCAACACTCATTTCGTACACTACCTTTAACGACGAATCTAGCGAGGGTCCCGACAAACTTTTAAAATTTAAGAAATGGTTTTGGAGTATTGTGGAGAAAATGAACATTATGGAACGTCAGGATTTGGTGAGACGATTTTCCAATCAGCTTCAAACATCCATAATAAACTATATTCTTGCAGGTGTACTTCTGGACCGGATCTCCTGCGCTTCCAGCTTCGGAGGAGGGATTCCAACCATTGCCATCTGTCACCATTAGACCTGCGGATGACTCTCATCTACCGACTGCGAATACATGTATATCTCGGCTGTATATCCCATTGTACTCCAGCAAATCTATTTTACGCAGTAAAATGCTGATGGCCATTAAATCCAAAAATTTTGGATTTGTATAAGCGATTGGAAGTCTTTCCTATGTGTATAAGCTTCAAATTCATTTCTTAATTAACTTTAGTTTTTTTTGAGTTTCGACTTGTCATATTTAACCATACCATTCCCATTTCGGATTATCTATTGTTTAAAATTTTTTCGAATTTGAACAATTTGTACGTAACATTATTCAACGAGATTGGCGCGGGTCATGACGGTCTAGCTTGACCTAACGTGTAGTAAAAATATGAAATTTCCACACAACCATTGTAACCAAGAAAACGGCCAATTAGGTATTAGGAAGCCTATGTTTTAATTATTAAACTTTTAAATAAAATATGTTTTCTAAAGTATGACTTATGCACATGTATATTTATCGATATCGATTCAATAGAAATTTGAAGAAAAAACCAATAAAAATAAGTCCACCTTACGGAAATTATGTATGATATAAAATGCACTACTATTTTATTTGGAGCGAAATGGGCCTGCCTAACTATATTTCCCTTTTCCATTTGAGAGTTTGGACTAACAAATAGTTTAATTGGCAATAAAACACAACGAAGTATGATTGTTAAGATTTGTAATTTATTTAATTTAATATATAATGATAGGGCATAATACCGAAACTTCAAAGCTGTACGTAATTCAAGCTTTTGATAGTAAAAATACATGCGTAGTCTAAATAGTCTAGGATTGCATAAAGTGCATTGCAGACACTTGGTTAGTTAATTTTTACTGCGACACATTTTAGACTGATGTCCTTATACATACTCGAGGACACGCAATATTCCTATATTTTTACATAAAACAAGGTACCAAACATAAATCATTAAAACGAAAGCACATTAAAATAAAAACGACTACTTCCCCTTATCTGAACACAAAAAAATTAAACTTATAAACAGGCAATGCGATTATTCAATGATCACTGGGAACTTTTCCACTTCCTCACATTGCTCGTTGAAACTGGAAATGAACTGCTGCAACTTAGCCTCATGCTCGATGTCTCTGCGTGGCCGTTTAACGCGTTGCTGCTTCTTCTGCGGAGAATCAAGGCTTTTGTCGTGCGAGTCCTGCTCGTTCTCGTTCTCGTCCTCACTTTCACTCTCGATGTACAATATCTGCACTCGCTTCTTCCGCTTACGCTGCGGACGCTCCTTCACATAAGTTCGTCTGGGTTGCTAGAATAGGTGGAATTTTTAAAGCAATTAGAGAGTTAGCCAAACTAAAGGATTCCAATGTATCACCATAGAACTACTAAAATGTATTTTGTGCGAGCGGCTTACTACCGTACAAAGACAAGCTTAATTCTTTGCGGCCCTGTTTGCCCAACTAAAACGATAACGTCTCAGTTTTAAGTTAATCTAGCGTTATTAGGTCAGTGTCTACACGCACTACTTACAGTGTCGACGCTTCCTCAACGCTTAGCCAAACGTAACGTATAACTAAATCGTACCTTATCGGCAAATGATTGCTCCGGCTCGTCTTGGTCAACCCCAAACAGTCCCATCGATTCCCTCGCAACCAGTGCAGCAGCTTTCCGTTTCACCGCTGAGGGCAGCGCAATCATAGTGGAGCAAAACACGTCTCTGATATCCATTTGCTTCGAATGCAATTGCAGGTAATCGGAACGATTCGGGGTCCATGATAGTTGTGGAAGCTCCCCTTCTCTGGGTCGCAGCTCTGCCAGACGATGGAGCTTGTCATGCAGATTTCCGTTTTGACTCAACGCCATGGAATCGGATGGCACATCTTCGCATTCGGTGATAAATTCATCGAATCCAAAGAGATTTCGTGAAGGTGACGTTCGTGTTTCCGTACGTTCATTCGGTATATTTTCACAGGGCGATATTTCCTGACATCCGAAAGTATTTACATCCATTTGATTACGATTAGCTAAAGCAGTAGTCACTTCTCGGTTAAAGGACACACTTGTGTGAGCGATACCTTTTGAGGGAGTCGTTGTTTTTCTAGGTATATCTTCACATGACAATGCATCGTCGTAACCAAAAAGATTCACCCGCGTTTGAGTGCGTTGCGCTGGTGATGAAGTTGCTATTGGATGAGGGTCCACTTTGGTAGGAGTGATTTCTTTTGAAATAGTGGCTGGCACGTTCTTCTTCCAAGGCGGCAGCGTCATTACTTCTAGTATGTTAATATCCTTGAAAGGCATTCGTTTCTGCACCGTTCTCCGAGGATTTGGCAGGTGCACAAAGTTATCTGTATTCTCTGCGCTTTCCTGGTCATTGATCGGCATCGATGTGTTAATTGTGGGAGGGGGTCGGTTCTCCTCATTCGAGTCGTTTCCATTTGAGTCATGACATTGCTCTTGCAAAGGCGGACAAATGGATTCCTCGTGAGGGATGTTCTCAGATTGCTGTACAGGTACATCTGGCACATAGACATGCCGTCGCCGCACGTGATCACTGGAGTACGATGGCATCTGGGAGGTGTTGAAACCAAACATGAAAGTATTTGGCAATGGGGATTCGTCGGAAACGCGCCAGGGGGATGCCCCTCCTGTCGTGCCAACTGCATTGGGAGACTGGCGGGTAATCGGCGACAATGCAGCGGTGGAAGCACTAACTTCTGTCACCGGAGGAACCCTGCGATTCAGTGGCGTGCTAACCAACTGTCGCGCCTTGTTAATAAGCTCTCGGCGTCTGTCTGTGGATGCCAGTGAACTTTGCGCCTGGGTCTGATTAAGCATTACGGATCGGGCCAAATTACTGTAGGCTCCGACATGCGGTTGCTTAGAAGTGCTCGGCTCGACATGCACCTGAACAGGTACTTCGATGGGCTGCACGTACCCCTGCTCAGAATCGTTGCTAGAATCTTCCTCGGGCTCGAAAATGGTTGATAAGCAGCGTGATGGCTTTTGAAGGCGTGGTTCTTTGGGCTTGGAGGCAACCTGTACCGGCTCGGGCTCCTTATCTTTTGTCGAAATCTTTCTTCGCCTACCCACAGGTCGGACCTTTTTCGCAGTTCTTTTGACTCTAGTTTTGCCGACTTTTGACCGCACCATTACGCAGGCCTTTCCATCCTTAACCATCCGCTTAATAATGTCTGCCGCGGGATCCTCCCTATTATTGTCATCTTCGATCTGGGACTGCGAGATAAAATCGAAGACGTTTCGGGTTACCGATGATCGTCTTCTGATTATAGTCTGATCTCTGTGGAAGAAACGAGTTGATTTCTTGGCCGAAATCTCTGCTGCCGGTCCACTAAGGCATATTCTCCCTATGCGTTGCCGAAATGGTGATGTTTTGGAATCTGCAAGTATTTTGATTTTCAATAAGATTGCCTTATTCGGCTGGTGAGGACTTCTTACCTGCCACCTTTTCCTTGATATCTTGGGGTATCGTTGATTTCTGTACCTTCGGAGGAGCGTACATCGTCGAGTTGCGAGCCGGCTCAAAAGTGCTGGCATCAGGCGGGTCATTCCGAGATTCTTCGGAGCCGACACCCTTTTGCACCTTAATGCGTCTTATTTTTACTACGCATTTTCTTATGCGACGCTCGGGCTCGGTTAAGGTAGTCAAAATATCTTCGTTTGATAGTTTCTTGGGACGCCTTGGTGGTGGTCGTTTCGTTGTGGTCAAATCAGCTCCGACCGACAATTTCTTGGGACGTACGAGTGAGCGTTTCGTTGTGGTCAATATAAAATCGGTAAACTTCTTGGGACGTACGGGTGAGCGTTTTGTTGTGGTCAATATAAAATTTGTAAACTTCTTGGGACGTACGGGTGAGCGTTTTGTTGTGGTCAATATAAAATCGGTAAACTTCTTGGGACGCTTCGGTGTGCGTTTCGTTGCGGTGTTCACTTCTGGCGCCGTAACACACGGCACCGGCCGTTTTCTTACCATTTTATAAATACAAATTGTTTACCAAATGAAATTCGTGTACAACTCCCGCCATTTTATTACTAGTATGACCATAGCGCGATCTCTAAAACATGCCATGAACCGTGCATAGGTGTGAAACTTGGCTGAGGAGAGGATAAACTGGTCGCACTCCATCTAACCGAGACACTTTCCAACACCGCTCGCCAGGGACGGAGAACCGATAGTAGTCGATAGGCGGACAGAGAACCAGATGATTGGCCTCGCAATAATGTAAAAAATAAATAATTATCTGTTTCCAAATAATCCAAATTCCAAATTCCTTGCACTACGATCTGCCGTGCGTGTGTCTGTCGCCGTGAGTGTGTGCGGGCAGTTTCGTTTCGCGCCCCCCCTAGCGAGCACAGCTGAAAATTAATCAGGAAAGCAAAAAAGAAAAATCCCCCAAACTGAAAATCGAGTGAAAGTTTTCTCATCGCCTTTGTTTTGTAATTGTGATTGTGATTTTCCTGCCTGCTGCCAGCGCTCATTACTGGCAATATTGGATCGACGTCGATATAGTGTCGCTGCTGCGGGCGCGGGTGGCCGACGGCGCATATAGCAAATACACCTTATAGCTACTATAGCTATACTCGCGGGCCCTATTGTGATTGTTATATATTTAAATCGACTCGATTCGAATCAAATCGAATCGCTGTCGTGGTCGCAGTCGCAGTCGCGTTTTCTGAGACTGCTGCAAAAGGCCTTGCGATTTTCTGCGCCAGGTACTGTGGGGAAGACGTCGAAGTGGTGTGGTGGAGAGGGGCGGTTGTGGGATTTGAATGGGATGGCACGGGGCGAATCCCAATAAGAAACTAGCGCGAAAACTGACATACCAGTGTACATACGTGCATGCATACGTACATCGCACGCGACACATGCCATACATACACAAGCGAATTATAATGGCAACAAACAATTGCAAGCGACCCAGCAGTACCACTACCACCACCACCTCCACCACTACCACCACCACCACTACTACCAATACCAGACCCTATCCAATCCCATCCCGTCCCATCAAATCCATTCCAATCCAATCCCAGGGACCGAGAACCCGAAGGCTGACTGTGACGCCAGTGGGGGAAATGGAGCCAAGGCAGACGTACATATCCGTGGATGTATCTGCGAATTATGTCTCAGGGTCAAGGACACGGCTTCTGCCTCGCTAACCGTTGTTTGACCTTATTAACGAGTCGGAAATTGTGGATTCGCCCACCGTAGATGGGGACACCCTTTCTGTACGCTTATATATGGTATAGTATCTTAGATGATTCCTTGGTAGGTAGTTGACACGCAACTACGCAGTGATATAGTCTTTGTACTTTGCAAAATAAGTCAAGGTAAATTGAAATGTCCTCCAAATTGTAAATTTGCCTGCGTACTTATAAATTCAATATTAGCTTTCAGACAATCTTTATCGCAACATCGCATCAACTCAAATTTCGTTTCCAGACGTCCAAGCCGCTGCTCAACGAGAAAATCTTCCGGTAAAATAATTGGATCGATCAGTGAACCAGAGAAGATTGTTATTAATACTCTTACTTGCAGTGTGAGTCCAGCCCAGGAGAGCTGCACCGTTGCAGAGGAGGCGGCTGCCGTCGAAGTGGCCGTAATGTCGCCCACACCCTCGTCCACGTGTTACTCGCTCCAGCCGCAGAACCAGGCACGGCAGAGCAACGTGGCGGACAGCAAAAAGTGGCCCTGCAAGGTGTGCACCTATCTCAATTGGCCGCGGAGCTTGCGGTGCGTCCAGTGCTGCACGAAGCGCGGCGGAGAGACCATAGAGCGTGGCAACAAGGACATGGATAACGAGGCAGACGCGGATCGGGCAGGAGAGGCGCTGCAAGCCCTTCGCATCAGCGGCTCGGAGGAAAACCTAGCCAATAAGCCAGGACAGCTCATCGGCGCCACGGCCTCCAATCTGGCCGAAAACTGGCCGAGGAGCATCAAGTGCTCCATGTGTGGCAAGACGAGGGAGCGGAAGATTAGTGGGTCGCAGAACGACCGCAGCAGCCAAACGTGGATACCGTCAGCGTCAATAACTCGTTCAATAAGAAGCACATTTACCAACTGGGTAAGTGTTTATAATGAAATTTCTCTGAGTATGTCTAAATGACTATCTTTTTCCAGGTTCCTCGGAAACCATCAACAACTGTGATACGCTGCAAGAGCGGCAGGAGCGCCGCCAGCGTCAAATCCGACGACAGGTGGACTGGCAGTGGCTGAATGCCTGCCTGGGCGTCGTGGAGAACAACTACAGCGCTGTGGAGGCGTACCTCTCCTGCGGTGGCAATCCAGCCCGTTCGTTGACCAGCACCGAGATTGCCGCCCTCAACCGTAACTCGGCGTTCGACGTGGGCCACACACTGATCCACCTGGCCATTCGTTTTCATCGCGAGGAGATGCTGCCGATGCTGCTGGCCCAGATCTCCGGTTCGGGGCCGGGCATCAAGCGCGTGCCGTCCTACGTGGCCCCCGACTTGGCGGCCGACATCCGACGCCACTTTGCCAATACCCTGCGCTTGCGCAAGTCCGGACTCCCCTGCCACTATGTGCAAAAGCGCGCCACCTTCGCCCTCCCCGCCGAGATTGAGGAGCTGCCGATCCCCATACAGGAGCAGCTCTGCGACGCGCAGAAACAGCTTGAGACGCCGCCGCCGGCCTTGAATTGGTCGCTGGAGATCACTGCTCGCCTCAGCTCTCGGATGTTCGTCCTGTGGAACCGCAGTGCTGGCGACTGCCTGCTGGACTCGGCCATGCAGGCCACCTGGGGCGTCTTCGATCGTGACAATATACTGAGGCGGGCACTGGCCGACACACTGCATCAGTGCGGGCACGTGTAAGTGAAACGTTTTTGTTTTAAATATCGTCAGCTTGCTTACTGAGATTTCATTGTAGGTTCTTTACTCGATGGAAAGAGTACGAGATGCTGCAAGCTTCGATTCTGCACTTTACGCTGGAGGACTCTCAGTTCGAGGAGGACTGGAGGGAGGACTGGAGTACACTATTGTCAAGTTCCACGACTTGGCATTTTTCGATCCAGCATTGTACGAATCTTTTAGACAAATTATTCAAAATGCCCAAACAAAGGAAGGCGATGAAAATATTATTCGTATGGAGCTATGCTTTGTGTAAGTATCCCCCATCTTAATTGATTATATAGGCGTTAGATAACCTAACCTGTTCTTTCAGTATTGATTTGATGAAGGAGGAGGGCTGCGGGAACAGAGAGCTTATCCCAGGAGGGCGCGAAGTTGCAGTCACATCGAGTAATATATTCGAGTACGTCAGACGCTATACAGAATATAGATTAATCAAATCCCAAGAAAAGGCACTGGAGGTATATACAAATATTGCGTAAAAATGTATCGCTCTATTACAATAAATCTTCTACTATTCACAGGCACTAAAAGACGGAGTTTTCGACGTTTTGCCCGATAACAGCATGAATAGCTTAACCGCCGAGGACTTGCGTCTGCTGCTGAACGGTGTTGGTGATATAAATGTTTCAACACTCATTTCGTACACTACTTTTAACGACGAATCTAGCGAGGGTCCCGACAAACTTTTAAAATTTAAGAAATGGTTTTGGAGTATTGTGGAGAAAATGAACATTATGGAACGTCAGGATTTGGTGAGACGATTTTCCAATCAGCTTCAAACATCCATAATAAACTATATTCTTGCAGGTGTACTTCTGGTCCGGATCTCCTGCGCTTCCAGCTTCGGAGGAGGGATTCCAACCATTGCCATCTGTCACCATTAGACCTGCGGATGACTCTCATCTACCGACTGCGAATACATGTATATCTCGGCTGTATATCCCATTGTACTCCAGCAAATCTATTTTACGCAGTAAAATGCTGATGGCCATTAAATCCAAAAATTTTGGATTTGTATAAGCGATTGGAAGTCTTTCCTATGTGTATAAGCTTCAAATTCATTTCTTAATTAACTTTAGTTTTTTTTGAGTTTCGACTTGTCATATTTAACCATACCGTTCCCATTTCGGATTATCTATTGTTTAAAATTTTTTCGAATTTGAACAATTTGTACGTAACATTATTCAACGAGATTGGCGCGGGTCATGACGGTCTAGCTTGACCTAACGTGTAGTAAAAATATGAAATTTCCACACAACCATTGTAACCAAGAAAACGGCCAATTAGGTATTAGGAAGCCTATGTTTTAATTATTAAACTTTTAAATAAAATATGTTTTCTAAAGTATGACTTATGCACATGTATATTTATCGATATCGATTCAATAGAAATTTGAAGAAAAAACCAATAAAAATAAGTCCACCTTACGGAAATTATGTATGATATAAAATGCACTACTATTTTATTTGGAGCGAAATGGGCGTGCCTAACTATATTTCCCTTTTCTATTTGAGAGTTTGGACTAACAAATAGTTTAATTGGCAATAAAACACAACGAAGTATGATTGTTAAGATTTGTAATTTATTTAATTTAATATATAATGATAGGGCATAATACCGAAACTTCAAAGCTGTACGTAATTCAAGCTTTTGATAGTAAAAATACATGCGTAGTCTAAATAGTCTAGGATTGCATAAAGTGCATTGCAGACACTTGGTTAGTTAATTTTTACTGCGACACATTTTAGACTGATGTCCTTATACATACTCGAGGACACGCAATATTCCTATATTTTTACATAAAACAAGGTACCAAACATAAATCATTAAAACGAAAGCACATTAAAATAAAAACGACTACTTCCCCTTATCTGAACACAAAAAAATTAAACTTATAAACAGGCAATGCGATTATTCAATGATCACTGGGAACTTTTCCACTTCCTCACATTGCTCGTTGAAACTGGAAATGAACTGCTGCAACTTAGCCTCATGCTCGATGTCTCTGCGTGGCCGTTTAACGCGTTGCTGCTTCTTCTGCGGAGAATCAAGGCTTTTGTCGTGCGAGTCCTGCTCGTTCTCGTTCTCGTCCTCACTTTCACTCTCGATGTACAATATCTGCACTCGCTTCTTCCGCTTACGCTGCGGACGCTCCTTCACATAAGTTCGTCTGGGTTGCTAGAATAGGTGGAATTTTTAAAGCAATTAGAGAGTTAGCCAAACTAAAGGATTCCAATGTATCACCATAGAACTACTAAAATGTATTTTGTGCGAGCGGCTTACTACCGTACAAAGACAAGCTTAATTCTTTGCGGCCCTGTTTGCCCAACTAAAACGATAACGTCTCAGTTTTAAGTTAATCTAGCGTTATTAGGTCAGTGTCTACACGCACTACTTACAGTGTCGACGCTTCCTCAACGCTTAGCCAAACGTAACGTATAACTAAATCGTACCTTATCGGCAAATGATTGCTCCGGCTCGTCTTGGTCAACCCCAAACAGTCCCATCGATTCCCTCGCAACCAGTGCAGCAGCTTTCCGTTTCACCGCTGAGGGCAGCGCAATCATAGTGGAGCAAAACACGTCTCTGATATCCATTTGCTTCGAATGCAATTGCAGGTAATCGGAACGATTCGGGGTCCATGATAGTTGTGGAAGCTCCCCTTCTCTGGGTCGCAGCTCTGCCAGACGATGGAGCTTGTCATGCAGATTTCCGTTTTGACTCAACGCCATGGAATCGGATGGCACATCTTCGCATTCGGTGATAAATTCATCGAATCCAAAGAGATTTCGTGAAGGTGACGTTCGTGTTTCCGTATGTTCATTCGGTATATTTTCACAGGGCGATATTTCCTGACATCCGAAAGTATTTACATCCATTTGATTACGATTAGCTAAAGCAGTAGTCACTTCTCGGTTAAAGGACACACTTGTGTGAGCGATACCTTTTGAGGGAGTCGTTGTTTTTCTAGGTATATCTTCACATGACAATGCATCGTCGTAACCAAAAAGATTCACCCGCGTTTGAGTGCGTTGCGCTGGTGATGAAGTTGCTATTGGATGAGGGTCCACTTTGGTAGGAGTGATTTCTTTTGAAATAGTGGCTGGCACGTTCTTCTTCCAAGGCGGCAGCGTCATTACTTCTAGTATGTTAATATCCTTGAAAGGCATTCGTTTCTGCACCGTTCTCCGAGGATTTGGCAGGTGCACAAAGTTATCTGTATTCTCTGCGCTTTCCTGGTCATTGATCGGCATCGATGTGTTAATTGTGGGAGGGGGTCGGTTCTCCTCATTCGAGTCGTTTCCATTTGAGTCATGACATTGCTCTTGCAAAGGCGGACAAATGGATTCCTCGTGAGGGATGTTCTCAGATTGCTGTACAGGTACATCTGGCACATAGACATGCCGTCGCCGCACGTGATCACTGGAGTACGATGGCATCTGGGAGGTGTTGAAACCAAACATGAAAGTATTTGGCAATGGGGATTCGTCGGAAACGCGCCAGGGGGATGCCCCTCCTGTCGTGCCAACTGCATTGGGAGACTGGCGGGTAATCGGCGACAATGCAGCGGTGGAAGCACTAACTTCTGTCACCGGAGGAACCCTGCGATTCAGTGGCGTGCTAACCAACTGTCGCGCCTTGTTAATAAGCTCTCGGCGTCTGTCTGTGGATGCCAGTGAACTTTGCGCCTGGGTCTGATTAAGCATTACGGATCGGGCCAAATTACTGTAGGCTCCGTCATGCGGTTGCTTAGAAGTGCTCGGCTCGACATGCACCTGAACAGGTACTTCGATGGGCTGCACGTAACCCTGCTCAGAATCGTTGCTAGAATCTTCCTCGGGCTCGAAAATGGTTGATAAGCAACGTGATGGCTTTTGAAGGCGTGGTTCTTTGGGCTTGGAGGCAACCTGTACCGGCTCGGGCTCCTTATCTTTTGTCGAAATCTTTCTTCGCCTACCCACAGGTCGGACCTTTTTCGCAGTTCTTTTGACTCTAGTTTTGCCGACTTTTGACCGCACCATTACGCAGGCCTTTCCATCCTTAACCATCCGCTTAATAATGTCTGCCGCGGGATCCTCCCTATCATTGTCATCTTCGATCTGGGACTGCGAGAGAAAATCGAAGACGTTTCGGGTTACCGATGATCGTCTTCTGATTATAGTCTGATCTCTGTGGAAGAAACGAGTTGATTTCTTGGCCGAAATCTCTGCTGCCGGTCCACTAAGGCATATTCTCCCTATGCGTTGCCGAAATGGTGATGTTTTGGAATCTGCAAGTATTTGGATTTTCAATAAGATTGCCTTATTCGGCTGGTGAGGACTTCTTACCTGCCACCATTTCCTTGATATCTTGGGGTATCGTTGATTTCTGTACCTTCGGAGGAGCGTACATCGTCGAGTTGCGAGCCGGCTCAAAAGTGCTGGCATCAGGCGGGTCATTCCGAGATTCTTCGGAGCCGACACCCTTTTGCACCTTAATGCGTCTTATTTTTACTACGCATTTTCTTATGCGACGCTCGGGCTCGGTTAAGGTAGTCAAAATATCTTCGTTTGATAGTTTCTTGGGACGCCTTGGTGGTGGTCGTTTCGTTGTGGTCAAATCAGCTCCGACCGACAATTTCTTGGGACGTACGGGTGAGCGTTTCGTTGTGGTCAATATAAAATCGGTAAACTTCTTGGGACGCTTCGGTGTGCGTTTCGTTGTGGTGTTCACTTCTGGCGCCGTAACACACGGCACCGGCTGTGTTCTCACCATTTTATAAATACAAATTGTTTACCAAATGAAATTCGTGTACAACTCCCGCCATTTTATTACTAGTATGACCATAGCGCGATCTCTAAAACATGCCATGAACCGTGCATAGGTGTGAAACTTGGCTGAGGAGAGGATAAACTGGTCGCACTCCATCTAACCGAGACACTTTCCAACACCGCTCGCCAGGGACGGAGAACCGATAGTAGTCGATAGGCGGACAGAGAACCAGATGATTGGCCTCGCAATAATGTAAAAAATAAATAATTAGCTGTTTCCAAATAATCCAAATTCCAAATTCCTTGCACTACGATCTGCCGTGCGTGTGTCTGTCGCCGTGAGTGTGTGCGGGCAGTTTCGTTTCGCGCCCCCCCAAGCGAGCACAGCTGAAAATTAATCAGGAAAGCAAAAAAGAAAAATCCCCCAAACTGAAAATCGAGTGAAAGTTTTCTCATCGCCTTTGTTTTGTAATTGTGATTGTGATTTTCCTGCCTGCTGCCAGCGCTCATTACTGGCAATATTGGATCGACGTCGATATAGTGTCGCTGCTGCGGGCGCGGGTGGCCGACGGCGCATATAGCAAATACACCTTATAGCTACTATAGCTATACTCGCGGGCCCTATTGTGATTGTTATATATTTAAATCGACTCGATTCGAATCAAATCGAATCGCTGTCGTGGTCGCAGTCGCAGTCGCGTTTTCTGAGACTGCTGCAAAAGGCCTTGCGATTTTCTGCGCCAGGTACTGTGGGGAAGACGTCGAAGTGGTGTGGTGGAGAGGGGCGGTTGTGGGATTTGAATGGGATGGCACGGGGCGAATCCCAATAAGAAACTAGCGCGAAAACTGACATACCAGTGTACATACGTGCATGCATACGTACATCGCACGCGACACATGCCATACATACACAAGCGAATTATAATGGCAACAAACAATTGCAAGCGACCCAGCAGTACCACTACCACCACCACCTCCACCACTACCACCACCACCACTACTACCAATACCAGACCCTATCCAATCCCATCCCGTCCCATCAAATCCATTCCAATCCAATCCCAGGGACCGAGAACCCGAAGGCTGACTGTGACGCCAGTGGGGGAAATGGAGCCAAGGCAGACGTACATATCCGTGGATGTATCTGCGAATTATGTCTCAGGGTCAAGGACACGGCTTCTGCCTCGCTAACCGTTGTTTGACCTTATTAACGAGTCGGAAATTGTGGATTCGCCCACCGCAGATGGGGACACCCTTTCTGTACGCTTATATATGGTATAGTATCTTAGATGATTCCTTGGTAGGTAGTTGACACGCAACTACGCAGTGATATAGTCTTTATACTTTGCAAAATAAGTCAAGGTAAATTGAAATGTCCTCCAAATTGTAAATTTGCCTGCGTACTTATAAATTCAATATTAGCTTTCAGACAATCTTTATCTTTTGATGGCAACATCGCATCAACTCAAATTTCTTTTCCGACAAAAATCAACATAGCTGTACATTATTGATCAAACTCCTTACATCTTCTACCAACTTCAACTAAAATGATTATCTAAGGCTGACTAGTGTTTAGAAATTAAACAATTTTGAAGTGAAAAAGGCAGACGGGTGGATTTGACTACCGAAAGCGCATGCAAACATTTTATGGGATCCCCTCACTTGGCGACAATCGTATATGCCATATCACAAATTCAACGTATGATCTCTTCTCATTGGCAGAGCAACTGCATTGGCCGGCTCCGCGCACAAAACGATGTGCGATACCAAAGACGATGCGCAGAAATGGAAATGTGAAATTTGCACCTACGAGAACTACCCATCCTCGCTGAAATGCACCATGTGCCAGGCGTCCAAGCCGCTGCTCAACGAGAACATCTTCCGGTAAAATAATTGGATCGATCTGTGAACCAGAGAAGATTATTATTAATACTCTTACTTGCAGTCTGAGTCCAGCCCAGGAGAGCTGCACCGTTGCAGAGGAGGCGGCTGCCGTCGAAGTGGCCGTAATGTCGCCCACACCCTCGTCCACGTGTTACTCGCTCCAGCCGCAGAACCAGGCACGGCAGAGCAACGTGGCGGACAGCGAAAAGTGGCCCTGCAAGGTGTGCACCTATCTCAATTGGCCGCGGAGCTTGCGGTGCGTCCAGTGCTGCACGAAGCGCGGCGGAGAGACCATAGAGCGTGGCAACAAGGACATGGATAACGAGGCAGACGCGGATCGGGCAGGAGAGGCGCTGCAAGCCCTTCGTATCAGCGGCTCGGAGGAAAACCTAGCCAATAAGCCAGGACAGCTCATCGGCGCCACGGCCTCCAATCGCTTGAGCCTTAGTCCGGGGATCGACGATGCTACGCATCTGAACAATCTCGCCAATGCATCCCACAACCAATCGCAGTCCCAGCACCGGCAGCCTGTTCATCAGCAGCAGATGCAGCTCCAGCTGCAGCCGCAGCAACAGCGGGAATCCTCATCCTCCGCCGCCGTCCCTCCGCAGCAGCAGAAGCAGTGCTATGTGGCCAAGTGGGCGTGTAACGTAGGTTCTCATAGACCAAATTTTCCTCTCAGATTTAATTAATTTTAATTTATACGTTTTCCTTAGTCGTGCACTTACGAAAACTGGCCGAGGAGCATCAAGTGCTCCATGTGTGGCAAGACGAGGGAGCGGGAGATTA